TTTTTCCGAGACAGGGTTTCTCCGTAGCTTTTGGTTCCTGTCCTGGAACTAGCTCTTCTAGACCAGGCTGGCCTCGAACTCACAGAGATCCGCCTGCCTCTGCCTCCCGAGTGCTGGGATTAAAGGCCTGTGCCACCACCACCTGGCTAACTCTCACATCTTGATTAATCCATTTCTATTAATGAGTGTAGCACCAAGAGGTGGTGGCTTACCGGGAAGGATTTTAACCTGCGTCCATCTTGGAGAGGAGAGCTATAGCTTCTGCCTCACTGCCTTCTTCCCAGCATTCTGTTCTGTCTACTCTGCCTACCTAATTTTCTGTCCTATCAAAAGGCCAAAGCAGTTTCTTTATTAACCAATGAAAGTAACACATAGACAGATGTCCCTCCTCCATCATACAGAGAAACACTATCTCAAAAAAAAAAAAAAAAACAAGCAAAAAAGATTAATTTAAGTTATAAGAACTAGTTAGGCACAAGCCTAAGCTAAGGCTGAGCATTCATGATTAATAGTAAGTCTCTGTGTGGTTATTTGTGACCTGCGGTTCCAATAAGAAAATACTGTTACAACCTGTTTTCCAATAAGAAAATACTGTTCAGGGTTCACCTAGACACACTGTGGCTGAGTCAAAACAAAACAAACAAGCAAAGCTAGTATATAAACACCCAGATGCTCAATGTATTCAATCATACACAGAACTCGCCTGTGAGTCCTACCTTTTTGACCAGCGGTAGCAGGCTCTTCCCTGGCCACAGCAATTCAGACCTGGTATCCTGTGTCCCCCGGACCTTTTCATGATCATCCCCTCCCTGAAGGAGAGACCACATCAAGTCATGAAGTTCACATGTACAGTTCACACATACTGTGTTCAGCCCCACAGCCAGGGATCATATAAACTGTCTCTCATGAACTCCCTTTCCACTCCTACCCAACACATCCCCCCTGTCTCTCCCTTCACCCTCCCCTTGGTCACTGCTCTCTATCAGGTAGGGCCCACCAGCAGAAACTCTTACAGACACTTGCTCAAATGTAGCCCTTTCGGCCTTTGTGGGTCGGTGATTCTATTGGGCACAATGTAGGCTCTTTGCACCCTGGCTCCAGGATCTTAAGGATAAATCCTCCCTGTAGCTACCATGGCTGCACCTAAGATGGGGTTTCGGGCCCCCCAGGGTCTTACACATTTCTACACAGCATCACACACAGTGATCAATCGAGCCATATAAAGTAAGGAGACCAAAGCTACTGGCTATGCAAGTGGGATATTTTGCTAGGCATGCTAGCCCATGCCTATCAACCCAGCCTTTGGGTAGTAGAAACAGGGGAATCAGTAGTTCAAAATCATCCCAAGCTACATAAAAGAGTTCTAGGCAAGCCTAGGCTACACGAGACCCTGTCTCAAAACAAACAAACAAAAACTCAACATCTTAATTTGAAAGATGTGCAATAACAATAACTTAAGAAAGATAATTCTGATACAGCTACTAGCATTGCACTTAACTAAAATTAAAAGTGTAAGTGTGGGACTGGAGCAATGGCTCAGTGAGTAAAGCACCCACCGCTCTTGTGGAGAACCCAGCACCTTTGTCATTCAGCTCACAGCCACGCATAAGTCCAGGGACCAGACGCCCTCTTCTGAACTTTACAGAAGCACACGCACTTGTGTGCACAGACCCACGTACAAACATACATGCACGCACAATTAAAATTAGTAAATAATGATTGAAAAGGGCAAGCCCTTTGTTGGAGCAAGCCCTGGTATCGGGAAGGGAAAACAGCCACTGAGTCAGTTCCCAGTCTATTTATACAGCACGTGTGACAGAGCACTGCGCTGCCGTACTTAGGAAAGGGGGTGGTAACAGCTTGCGGAAGACTGGGAGGAGGCATCTTATGCCCTTGATCCTCCCAGCTGGGAGAGTACTATGTAGACTGAGTGTTCCTAGTCCTCCTGAAAGAGAAGATAGCTGCTGCCCTTGCTTCCTGTAGGGGGCGCTCTGCTCCATATGAGCATCTCCCTAGTGGGGCGGGAGAAGTCCCAGGAAGGGAAGGGCTAGCTGCCTATCACTGTCACAGGCTGTGGCATTAAATCAACTAGCTTCCTTACACATTTGCATAAAGACCCAACCCTGGGACTTACAGGCCCTTTGGTCCCAAATCATGGATGAAAGACAGCTGGCTGACATCAAGGAACTCTGTCTGAAAAAAAAAAAAAAAAGGAAAAAAAAAAAAAAGAAAGAAACCATAAGAAACACTTTAGAAACAAAGCAAATCAGAAGGATAGAAAACATCAGGAAGAAGGAAGGGAAGAAGGAAAACAAAGCATTCATGAATTGCATGAGCCATGTATTGGGAGCCACTAGGTATAAATGCTTTGGTTCACACTGTAATCCAGCTCTCGAGGGAAGGAATGAGGGTCAGGAGTTCCAGGTTAAGCTTACTACACAGTAAAGTCCATGCGAGATCAGCCCAGGCTACGTAAGACTCTGTTTCCAAAAGGAAAAACGAAAAGGAATTGCATAATGAACACACGATCAGGAAAGCTCTGTGCACCACGGGATGGATGGAGACAGAACTCTGCAGACTGTAGAGGACAGCTACTCCCAACCGCTGTTTTCTTTTCCATTTTCATTGCCGGGGAGAGGGTTTCGTGGTACAGTGTTTACAAAAGAAGGTGCGCATGAAGAAAGGATGGAGAGGGTTCTAGAAGGTAGACAGGGGGCATGTGGAAGTGGGGGACAAGGGAAAGGATGGACAGAATGTGGTCCACCTGCAGAGCAAAGATGGAGACCTGCTCTGAATAAAACCCTCTGGAGATCAAAGAGATCAGCAGCATCAGGTGCAAGCAGAATTTCGCCCAGTGCTAGGGGTTGAACCTAGGTGTTCACACACATCTGGCAGGAGCCCTACCGCTGAGCCATGTTCCAAGGCTCTTTTCTTGGAGACGGACTTTCCTTAAGTTATCCAGCTGGACCTGGAGTCACTCTGTGGCCCAGGCCTTGAACCTTCCTCCTCAGCTCTGGAGAAGCTTAGCTTACAGATCTGAGCTACCAGCCCCATTGGTAGACTCACTTCTCAGTGAGTTGGTATGGAAGGTAATGACTCTCACGGGTACCATTTACTGAGGGCTTTCTACAGGCTCACATTGTATTAAATGCTTCTTCACAATTCTCTTAAACATGCTTTGATATTTTCCCAACAGAAAAGGGAGATTAAGCTTAACAGCAAGGGTAGGCGGAGATTTTTGCATTAAAACAACAAATATTTCGATGTCTGTGTGCCCTTGACTCTTTGTTACTAATGCCCAATCTTTCCCTGTGGTGTGAACACAGACTGGGGATACACATGTGGGTGTGGCTGAAGCGAGTAAGACTTTGTGAACACCAGATGCAAATATAAAACCAGGTCTCAGGTACTGGGGGGGGGGGGGTGAAATCTGGGGACCAGAAATTCGAAGTCATCCTCAGCTATATATTGAGTTCAAGGCTAGCACGGACTACACGAGGCCCTGTCTCAAGACAGAAACTAAGACAGAAAGTGAAGAGTTCAAGAATAAGAATATAGAAGAGTAGATTCCAGAAATGAGAATGTAGAAATAAAGAAGCCCAAAGTTGTAAGCCTAGGAGAATGAGAGCCACTTTCTAGGCAGCTTAAGGATTAACTTTTAACAGTGGGTTACTTTGCTTTACAACCCATAGCTCTGTCTACAAGGCTGAAGCGGGGCTCTGCAAACTGAGGATCAGGTTTCAGATAACCCCTGGCCACTCATGACCAGCCATCGATGTGAGCTGAGTTAACTTTTAAATGATGGGATGTACCTGATGTTTTGATTGTGAATTTTCCCATGCCCTTCCCTGCTGTGCGAAACTGGCAGTATGGGGGAGGGGGGGCAGAACTTTGACAAAAAAACAGCAAGTGACAGAGAGAAGCAATGGGGCTAAATACAAACACTAGCCTAACTAGAAGACCCTGGTAATGGAAATTATAAAAGAGGCTATTTCTATCTGAGTTTTACCTCGAGATTGTAAAAATTCTTTTGTTCATGCCTAATGGTTGCGCTTGCTATAAAAAAGGGCAGTCTGGAAATAGCCCATTGCCACAGCCTTACAAGTCCATCTCTGGCTGTTGTCCCAGCTAGCTGCTAAGCTTTTTGTGCCCCGTGGAGATTTATTTTTTAATTTTTTAAATTTTTTCCTGGAATAAAGTTTGCCTCTGGTTTAATAGACTTTGGTGGTCTGTCCCCCATTTTTGCACGACCACCATAGACTCAACAGAAAGAAAGAAAGAAAGAAAGAAAGAAAGAAAGAAAGAAAGAAAGAAAGAAAGAAAGAAAGAAAGAGGGAGGGAGGAAGGAAGGAAAGAAATCTTAAGAGAAAACACACAAAAACAGTCAGTGAACTCAATTTGGCACAAAAGTTCTAATCTTCAATTCGTGGTGGTTTAGGGAAACTAAGCCGCCGAGACCATATAGCCAGGATAAATAGAACTGATATCAAATCAAACCAAATCAAAGTCAGTATGTCATTCAACATTCATCTCTGTTTGTGTTCTTAATATCTCTCTCTCTCTCTCTCTCTCTCTCTCTCTCTCTCCACCCCACCCCCCGTGTTATTGTGTTTTGATTTTGAGACAAGTGTTACCTAGGTAGCCCAGAATGACCTCAGATCTCACATCTTCAGCCTCCTGAGTGCAGGAATCACGTGTGCACCACCATACCCAGCTCAACATTTATCTTATTTAGATGAGATCCCTGCATATAATAATGAGGAGAGGGCAAGCTGCAAACATGGAGGATGAGAGGAAAGATGTGAATTTATCACATGCAGTGCTTAACACAGGCCAGGGTTTGTCTCAGAAAATGCTCGCAACACCTAGAATCGAACACGGAATGTTCCCTGTTTACAAGTTTCTCTTTGAAGAGTTGTCAGCCCAGGAGTGCTGGTGATGCTTGGACCACGTCAGCAATAGCCAGAGAGGAAACCGAGATAAGCTGGGAATGTAGCTCAGCTGGCAGAGGGCTGCCTTCTGTCCCCAGCGCTTCATAAACTGATCGCTGTGCTACACACCTGCAGTCCCAGCACTAGCGAGGTGGAGGCAGGAAAATCAGAAGTTCAAAGTCATCTCTTGCCACAGAGTGTATTCAAAACAGAAACCCTTGACGGGGAAGCTATTTACCCAGGGTGGGGAAGCAGATGGGAGATGACACCAGCAAAGAGTCCAGTGGGAGAATCATCCAGTCATGTGGTAGTCCTAAAACCCCAGAGCAGGAGCAGGGTGGGGCTGGATCGGTAGAGGAAGCCATACCTGGCTTCTAACTGGATTAACAAAAGAAAACAGCAGATTTCCTTGAAATGTTTGTCTGTGGGTTTTTTTTTTTTTTTTTTTTTTTTTTT